CATTTGTGGGTTGTTATGGAGCTGTTAGATGGGGGACCACTTACTGATGTTGTCACTGAGACGATTATGAAAGAAGGCCAAATCGCAGCTGTTTGCCACGAGGTGCTTCAAGCCATACAATATTTACACACCCGTGGTACTATTCACAGAGATATCAAATCTGATAATGTCCTACTGGGTATGGACGGATCAGTGAAAGTTACGGATTTCGGATTCTGCGCCAATATTGTTGGTGATGAACAAAGGCAAACTATGGTCGGTACACCTTATTGGATGGCTCCCGAAGTAGTAACAAGGAAGCAGTATGGCAAAAAGGTTGATATATGGTCGTTGGGTATAATGGCGATAGAAATGATCGAAGGGGAACCGCCTTACTTAAAAGAGCCACCTTTGAGGGCGCTATATCTCATTGCAGCCAATGGGCGTCCACAAATACCCGGTTGGAAGAAATTGTCATTGACTTTACAAAGTTTTATTGACGATTGTCTTCAAGTAGATGTGAATAAAAGGGCATCCGCCGAAGAGCTTTTAAGACATCCTTTCCTACAGGTACGGATGGAATTATCCACGCTTACTCCTCTAATCAAAGCTGCTAAGAAAGTATTGCAAAAAATGTAGGTAGTGCTCTATAAACAGTTTTTTAGAACCACACTGTGAAAGACTGAAAGTTAATTGTCCGTGTACCCTTTTTGAGACAGTATTTTTTATAGACATTTTTTATATTGTCCATTTTACAGAAATAGTGTTAAGTTAATGTAAGTAAGATGTTAGTTGTGTATCTTCAAGTCGACCAAAAAATGCGCCTTGTGACTACATTAATTTAGGGGGTTACTGTAATACTGTTACAAACCTTTTCTCTCAAAATGGTCCATTTGTGATAGAAAAGCTTTAATATTTTATGACTATTAGTCAAGTATAATTTGGGACAATTTTGAAACTTAGATTCCAACGATGAAATTACGCAATATTTAAATGTGACAATATCAATATGATGTACTGAACGTTTCATATGGTACTTAGGTCATTTTAATTCCAAGCCAAGCCCAAATTGTATTGTCTAATTCAACCATTTACATTTAAGGATGTCATCAATCAATGAGGACTTTGTTATGTTACAGGTAAATGTTTATGTAGATCATAAGTGTTGCATGTAACTGGTTACAATCATTCCTTGGTCCTTATGCATTTATATTTTTTCCAGCAATTTATGAGATGGTACACCATTTTTGTAATATAGTATAGTTAGGGATGACTATATTTATGAAAAAAATATTTTTGGATACAATGATGTATGATATATACTGTAAAGCTTTTTGTAAATTATGTATATAATTTTATTTGGCCCAAAGGGTAAAATATATTATTTGATCAGTACTAATTCTACTGTTACTCCATAGTTTACTACAATTAATTAAATCTTATTGGGTATTGTGGTCTGTAGAAACGATTAGTCACAAATTTGAATTTAATTCTACTCATTTTATTTGTGCTTCGCCAGAAAAGGGTATTTACTTGCTTGTTTGAACAGAACTGCAAATTTTGAAAAAACTTGGCAAGATCTTAAATTTCTTTCTTTTTTGCTTGTAATTTACAAAATTTGTACAGGTTTTTTAAAAGCTTATACTTTTATGCAACAGACTTTGAATTTTTGAGTTTTTTATTCTACACTGATTTGAATTAAGTCGCACAACAAATCAGAAAATGTTTCCTGTAATAAAAATCACTTAAAAGTGAAAGACAAACTTCGTTGAGCCTTTTATTTAGACTACTAAAAGTGCACTTTCAGAATTTATACAAAAAACTGTCTTCAATATACTTACGGCATTGAATAAAAAATTAATTTTTATTCAATGCTTACGGCTAGTTGCACAAAAAAATTCAGGATTATTGTTTAATCCGGTATTAAGACATTTGATTGGCTTTATATTGCTGTAGGCAGCCAATCAAATGTCAAAATTCTTGTTTAAACTCAGATTTGACAAATAATGTAGGATTTTGATTATAATTCGCTTTCCTGCAACCGGCCGTTAATTACTTAAACTACAGACAATTTTACCAGTTACAGCGATACTCGCACCCGCATTTACTCACAAAAATAAATTTAATTGTATTAAATTATTTAATTATCTCTATATATAAAAATGAACCCCTGTTTCTTCTGGTCACGGAATAACTTTAGAACGACTTTACCGATTTCATCCATCTTTTTTTTAAAAGTTTTGTAATACTGTGTAGACGGTTCTTACGGCAAGAGCTTAGCTTAAGCATAGCTTAAAATCCATGGCAATGATTATTGAGACAATGGTTGCCATGGATTTTAAGCTAAGCTCCACTTAAATTTGTCGGTGCAAACGGCCATAAGTCAAACTGACGAGCAAAGTGAAGCGCGAAACGAAGTTACCGGAATCGATTATGTTGCGCGCCAGTGGCCAAGTGAATTTGACGCCATTGGCACTGCCACCAGAGCCACTACATTCTTTGGTTTCCGGAAATGGGCCAGATTCTATACATTTTTTTATTCATATCTAGAAATACAATAATTGCTTTCAAATTACGGAATTTGGCATAACTAAAAAAGGTACGTTACTAGCTCTGAATTGCCAAAAGTGCGTTTATTATTATTTTGGGGCAAGTGTGTCAAAATCTCTTTTCCGGCTAAACGGTTGAACCGATTTAAACCAAATTTGCTGCACATATTCTTAGACCAAAGAGATGGTTACTCTTTGCTTAGACATAAAAGGGCAGAATCGCGCATGCGCAGGTGGGGCGGGTGGTTCCTGTGCTAGCCACAGCGAATTTATTGAAATAATTTTAAGAAGGATTTTAAGAAAAAGGACAACGTCCATCGGGCCAACTAGTATTAAATAAATGTATTCCAAAACAATATGTCACAAAATTAAAACAAAATGCCTGAAAGAACGACAAGCTAACAAAGCTTAGTTTGGACATTTTACCTCACACCAGACAGTCGACAAAAATAAGAAACTTGAAACTTTGACATATGCCTGGCGTCGCCGCCTCTCCCAGGATTTAGTCAACTGTCGTGAGGATGCGTCCCTGGTAGGCACTATCAGGGACGTTTCATCACTATACTTTGTTGCCATCGCGCTGGGCCGCGACATATGCCAAACAATGTGGTGGAGTTTGTGGATTGGGGGGGTTGTGGGGGGGCGGCTAACTGGGTGTTATGCGACCCGAACGGGTACGGCCACAGCTTCGCCACTGGTATTCTGCCTTAGAGGGAACTCTGCTTTCTAATGATAGCTTCTTCTCGGGCGTTCATTTGTTTCCGATGTTAATTCCCTTATCTGCTTTCTTGTAAGGTTGCTGTTTTCCATCAGTATCCTGAGTGCCTTTCGCTCCGCCCTCCTCAAAGTTAGTCTGTTACTTCTTGTTAGCGCTGAGGTGTTAACTCCGTATAAGATTGTCGGTGCTATGATCGTGTTGTACCTAAATCATCATTTTCAAGCTGTGTGGTATTTTCTTCTCTCGTATGAAGTTCCGAATTCCATGTGTGATTCTGAATGTGTTGGTTATTCTGTCTTTCACTGTGTTGTGCCTGCTGAGTGTGCTGCTTATGTACGCTCCCAGATATTTAATCTTGTGCTTCATAGTTATCTCCTTCCCGGCTATTGCGATCTTGCCTCCTTCTTTGTACTGGGCGTTGCTTCTTGGGTCCCTTATCATCATGCAGCTCTTTTCGTTGTTTATGTGTGAGTTGGCCATTTCCAGGCATACCTCGCTGGTTTGGACGAAGTCCTCAATGTCTTCTATAACTTACCCGCGATTACGAGTATATCGTCCGCGTACGCCAGTAGTGTCGGTAGTTGCAATTGGTCGCTTGTGCTGGATATACTCTAAGTCTTAAAATTACTTTCAGTTTTTTTCATTTGGTCATACAAGATTTATGCGATATAAGGCACACTCAACTAACACAAATGCTGACAGCTTTTCACTTTAATTTATGACATAGAATTAGATGACAAACGCAACTGGCTGGATGAATAAAATTAACAGATTTTCTGAGGCTGTTTGGGCAGTAGAATCTTTTAACAAAACAAAACTTGTTCCGTAAATCGGACAACTCTTCACCTGGTTAACTTGCGTCTGCACAGATTTATTATAAAAAACGCGTATTCGACAAAACAAATAGGGCCAACTGCCCGTAATTTAGCGTAAACAGATGTACACGTTTTTCAACCGTCGCGAAAACTAACAGCCGCGTATGCTCATTGCCTCCACTATTTAATAAGGAAATACCACTTTCATAAACTCCTTTAAAAATTTTCAAGTAACTCCCCAATCAACGACGGAATGCGGCAAAAGTCCACCTCTCCAATATTCAAGGTAAAACCTTTTATAAAGCACGCAAATTTGATTAGATGCGTTTTACTTCTAACACCTTATCTAAATTACAAAAGAACAAGAATTTGGCATTTTCAAAATTTCTAAAAGGAAAAACAACACTTGAGAGATACAAATTCAAATGAAACAAACCAATTTGACGTTGTTTACACAACAATATGAAGGGCTGTGATATTAGAAGTTTTTAATTTGTTGTCATTTATGCTCGTACACTGAATGTTCAAGTTCAACATTTTAACTTTTCATTTCCTGTAAATGGTATCAATATTCACACTCCTCCCACACGCTGTTGCTGTGCAAATTGGAGCTCCAACGATGATCAGATCAGTGTTTATCTTTCCCAACTCTACTTTAGTAATTATTTTTAGCATATTTTTCCGAGATGGAATTGTGCTGTTTATTTTTTATGTCCGTCCGTACATTCTATAAATGCCTAAAGCCATAACTTCTGCACTTCTTGCTATAAGAAATTAGACTTGACAAAAATCCTACCGATTGCTTACGGATCTTGGTTTATGCACCAATCATCGGTCAGCTTATATAGCTGGTCGGCAATGGTACAGAAGTTTTGTAATGAGGCAGACAGGTACAGCACATCAGCTAACAAACGAAATTGTAGGGACCACAAGAAAAAATATATTCACATACGTTTATTTCATTTAATTATTTACATTTAAATCCATACATCTTGAATATAACGATTAGTATTTTGCAATTGTTTCATGTAACCTTCCGCGTCAGACTGAGACCAACTCATAACATCCGTCAAACAATTCACAATGGTACTACTGACTTGTTTGACCATATTTTTTGCGTCACCACATACATAAACAACAGCATTTTCTCTAACAATTTTATTAACAAAGCTCTCATTATGCTGCCTAATTAAATCCTGAACGTACACCTTTTCAGTCTGATCCCTCGACGAGCAACAAGATAGTCTAGTTAAAATGCCAGTTTGTAAAAACTGGTCGATTTCTTTTTTGTAGAGGAAATCTCTGCTAGCGTAACGGCATCCATAGAATAACCATGCAGCACCCACGTCCAAATTTAGCAGTTCTCTATGTTGCAAAAAACCAATGAACGGCGCGACGCCAGTACCCGGACCGATCATTATTATTGGCGTCGACATGTCCTCGGGTAAACGAAAATTATTTGGACGACGAAAATAAAAATCTAAACTTCTCTCTGGGTTGTTACTGAAACGCTCCAACCAACTTGTGCAGACCCCTTTAAGATTATTTTCTAAATCTATAACGGAGAAAGTAAAATGTAGTTGCTTAGATGTGGAATTATTGATTAAAGGCGAAGACGATATAGAGTACGGTCTCGGCTGTAAAGGTCCCAGGTGCTCTAGGAGCCTTTCAACAGGTGGCCTGCATGATGGAAATGACTGCAGTAAGTGTAGCAAACTGTCACAGTTTTGTATAAAGTTGTTATACTCCGTTGAACCACTTGGTGAGCATAACTGTTGTAACTGAGCCATTTCTTGTGAATCGGTTGTGAATCTTAGTAGCATTTTCAGGAATAACTGCAATAATTGAATCATCATGAAAGTCAGATTGAGATACAATACCTTCTTTGGTGTACCACGCAAATCTAGTCTTTTGCTGAAAAGATCCCGCAATGTTCCACAGGTGGGAATGTGTGGTGGAATAATCGGCTTCTTTTTGGTTGTTCCAGTACGAATCTCAACAACGTATGGAACATCGGCTACAGCCAACAAGTTGAGATGATGCAGAAGTTCTGCAACCTCATCATGATTATTTTCAGGGAGGATGGCGATCGTGTCACCAGGTTGAAAGTCTTTATCGACATCCTGAAATATTACGGGATTATAGTTGGGAAAAATGGCATATTTGTGGAGATGTTAAATTTTAAAGGGTTTTTCTTGGTCGAGGTGCGAATTGGGGTATAGCGGTCATTTCCTTTGTGAGTTTGCGATTACCAGCTGCGTAATTTTAATTTGAATGTCACTCAATTAATCTATATACAGGGTGTCCATTTATCTGGAGACAGTCAATTATTGCGGAAACTAGCGGGATATCGGCATATATTACAAATTTCGAGTCTATGAATAAATTCAAACTTAAATCCTGGCTAAAACAAAATTATTTTTAATGATTTACATAAAATATTCTTCATATGGAAGGGCCCATTTAATGACGCTATCCACATGCTCACATAACTATCCCTTAAGGGTCAAGTGTAGGGCAACTTAATATTTATAAATAGAAACCTCTATACTTTTTATTGAATATTCTTATTCTACATAAAATAATAAAGTTTCGTGGGAAATTCCCTTTCCCTTACCACTTTTTGAAGACACTCTTCCAAGCTAGAAAGCTGTTTTGACAAGAATTCTGCACATTTTTTGGTTTAGAGTCTAAATGACTGTACATGGATGGATGCGGACTTAATGGATAAAGAAAGTATGTCTTTCTTTTAAAGTGGGCTAATGGTTTGTGCAACATAGAATCATAAAATTGAAAAAGTATCAAATTGTTAAAATAATCACGTCTACCTAAAACTTTTGAGACAAAATTCTCAGAATATATGGTTTCATATATTCTGGAATTCCAAATCACACATTTTCAGTTTGCTCTATTAGCAATCCCCTCTTCTGTCCATCTGTATGTCTGTGCCGGTAACTAGACTACTGATGAACATTTACATTGTCGTCCTTTTTGCATTTGGTAGCACAAAGCTCTTGAGACTTGACTCAAAGAAAAATCATGCGATTAATGTGACTCCATCAACTACCTGAATTATGATACAAAATATAAAATCATTATGCATTAGCTCACTTCGATAGGAAAATGTCCAAAGGATTTACTTGAACACTCCACAAGTGAATATGCATTTTGATTTTTGGGTGCAACAATTTTGGTGAGTGGTAGATATGGTTATGGTACTTAGATACACAACAGTCTCTGGTTTTTGCTGCTATAGCCCAAAATGGAGCAGTCTGGCTCTGTGCACCTATAAAAATGACACGTAGAGGCTCAGGTTTGTGAGACAAGGAATAATTAATTAAGCCTAACTTATTAACATAAGATCTAAGTTTTGCCTTTTTCCTGCAAGTACCTATTATTTACTAAAACAATCCGCTCCATGTTTTGATTAAATGGGAATCCTCGGGCAGCTAAATTTGAAATCAACAAATTTGTTTGAGTAGTAGTCTTCGCCGAATTACCTGCAAGTCTAATGCAACATCGTAGGTACGTTTAACATCAACACCTGTCGTGAGTCGTCTTATCTCGAGTACTTTCCTTTTGTACAGCAGACTATCGGCGAATGGTAAAATTCTTCTGTCGTCCTAAAAGCAATTGCAACAGTCCGATAATTTGCCTTCACAAACTTACACTTTGCAAGTCTCTCTCGACATTAAAAGTTATTTGCAAATAATCAGCAGGCTCTAGTGACATTTTCAAAATTTGAAACTTTAACCTAATTCATTCATGCTCCAAACAGACCAACAGCACATGACAAGTGGAGGAGTAGGGAGAAGAAATGGTGGATTGTTGCATAGACTTTTGAGAACTTTTTAATAATGTGTGCCATTGCAAGTAAGGAACGTCTTCGGGATTTTCTGCAGGTGAGTACATTTACGTTGGAGTGAAGTAAGAATTATAATAGAAATGAATGTTGTGTTGCAAAATTTTTTGGTGGAGGGTAAATTTGTGTACCAATTACAATGTAATGTTTACATTTTAACTTTTGGTTGCATCAAACAATTTAATGACCGACAGACGTTTGAAGGACACTGTTGAGGATTTGCCACGTTTTGGAACCATAACTAACGAAGGGTTAGTTTTAACTTGTTTCCAAATGGGGACATTTCAAAAAACGCGCCGTTAGTGAAAGTGGAAAAGCAACCGGTAGAGGTCCGTAGTGGAATTGAATGATGTCATAATTTAAACACCGCCAACAATTTAATAATCACTCTAGTGGCGAAAAGTCGCGCTTGTAGTGGTTGTTTTGCATCGAGGAAATTTTACCGGTAGTGAAAATACGTTTCTACGATTGTTTGAATGTTTACAGGACGTTTGAATAATGTAATTGAATGGCGTAGTCGATAAGTGTTAGTAACGCGTTTGGTCTATTCAGCGCCGCCGTCGTTTGCACTGTTCATTGTAGAAATGGTGGTATGCGTTGTTCAACTGTTCTAGCTCGAGTCGCCATTGTTGAGTAGTATCCTATTTAAAAAATCTTCACCTCTCGCAATTTGTTTATCTTAGATAACACCGTTTTTGAAAATCGAGTGCTTATTTTAGCGATTTAGGAGGATATTATACGTAAGTGAAGTTCTTTGTAATAAGTGCTTCGAGTGGTGCAATGTTTTTAAGGTGCGTGTCTGAATCTGCACCGTATTCCGTTTCGTAAGCTTGGACTCGTCACGTGGGAGTGATCTGTTCAAATTTCGCCGTATACTAAAATCGAAAGTAATCAATTTCCAAATTCTCACGTTAACCGTTTACGCTAAAAATGTTACTTTGTTTACAACTAGCATTTTATGTCAACTGTTCAAAGGCTTGTTTTATAAATTTTTTCGGCGGTTAACTTATCCCCACAAAATCGTTAATGCTCCTTAACTAAATTTTACATTTTACGCAGTGTAAAAGTGATGAGAAGTGGAATTGATTGAACACTGAATGAATGGGATTGAGTACAGCCTCGGTGAGGCATCCCCATGTCATGGTGATGGCCCCGGCATTAACGAAAACCACACAGTCGCAAAGTTTTAAAATACCCCCCAGCAGCCCGACGACGCAACCCACAACCACCTTGCATACAAACAGAGATGTGCTTGACGTTTATCAATCTCTGGAGGGAGATTCGTGCGAGAAAACTTCGATTAACGAACTAGCAAATGATAACCTCAATACCTTAGCTTTAGTTTCAGAATTACTAAAAGGTAATCGTACGACGTGTAAGGATAGTGATATAATGAGTAGTGCCCCCTTACATATGGGCGACCAAAAAGATAAAATGGGTCTACGAAAAGCTGGTATAGATATTGTATCTGCGATGATAAAAGAGAAAACTTCGGCGAGCGACGATGATCAGTTGAATAATTTCGAAACTGGGGACGGTACTGCCTGTGCGGAAATCGGTCAGGACGAGTTCATGCAAGTAATTAAGTGTATAGAATCGAACAGTGATAAGTTGGGGGCATCTGCTAGTGATCTTACTTCTGAAACGGATTCTGTGTTTCCACTATCAACGGACTTGACAAGTAATTTAACATCATTTGAAAAGGAGCTTCTTAACGACGTTGATGTGATGAGTATCAGCATTGAAGAGCAATTAACTGATACAAAAGAGACCGGTGCGAAGGAGTTGTTAGCGAATTTACAGAAAAAGCATACCACCCTTCAAAGGAAGTTGGAATACACCTTGAGAAGGTTGCGAAAATTGCAGGCGAAACAAATTGGACAGCATGCCAGCGAGGAGATCGCCGGTGTGTTCGAACACGTCCATCGAACTATGCGACGTAAGGATAGTCCCCCGGGCGCCGGCGAGATTTCGGAGAAATTGAAACCTATTTCGTTAATGTCCGCCAAAAATATAATAAAAAAGTTGGAGGTGTCGACATCTCTTCAAGCGAATGCGTTGGGACGACGGCACATGTCTAGGTATTTTGGTGCGGGTTCGGTCGAACCAAATTCCTTCCGTACCGGTGTTGTCGGTGCGCTTGTGGTGCCTCAATGGACTCCCGAACATAAACTTGACATGCAAAGAGTGACCGGGCATTTGTGTGCGGAGGTGAATTTGTTACAAAACGAACTCGATTCGGAAGCTACCTTAAGCAGTTCGGGTGGGGAAAGCTCGGACGAGATGCAGCCATATAGCAACCCACATCAACAGTACCTTGCGATGTAAGTATAGGTCCGATATTTAAAAATTTAAATTGTTTGATGCAACCGAAATTCTGATTGGAACGGTATTTTTCAGTCTGGTTAAAAATTATTTTAAAAAATGGGAATCGTCAATTTTCAAAAAACTGAAAATTTTTGGAAAAAACGACTATGTGAAGTTGCCCAAATTTCTTGTGTTAAGACATTTGTAAAAATAGGGTGCTTTGATTTAAAAAACGTATGTTGAACGATTGTTTGCATTTCAATTTTTGAACACCCTGATTTTTAATTAAAATAACAACACAGTCCCCTAATCACCAGTCAACTTTCGGTATCCAAAGCCAACTTGAAAATATTTTTGATGAATTCCTCTTATTTTCGAAATATCCTGTCTCCTTTTTGAAATATACGTAGGTGACATTTGTCATGTGATACCTCCTATAAATTATCAAAAAAAAAAGGTTTAAAAACAACAGGTAATTTTTAGGAAATAGGCAATGTCTGACACGAATTGGTTGTCGCATGTAAAAGAAACTTAAAAAATGCGCTAAAAATTGAAACTAATTTGTTACCATACTTAAAAATTTGTTGCTCACGGAAACCAGCCCTAAATTAATAGTGGAGTCTATACAGAGGTTCGCATTTTCAACATCCATATAATCGTTTTGTGCTCGGTTTTGTGGGACAACTTAAAATGGTAAAATTAAAATTTGAAAATTTGAGAAAGCGAGGGAAAATAAAAAATTGACAATTTCTTAAGGGTCTTTTTATAATGATGGTTGATTATGTGCCGCTTTCCTTTCCGCTTTAAATAAGTTACAGGGTGCTCTAAAAAATTAGCTGAGGTAATCTAATTTTTTTTAATGGAATAGATAGCATATTAAAACCTATTTTCAAAAATATCATCATGCATGATATTAAAAAAATTCTCAAGTAATTAAAAAAGGGTTTAAAAAACTCAAAAATGGTTCAAAATCCAAAAAAAGACGAACTTTCAGATCTGAAATTATAACACCCTGTACCTAGATCGGTAACGAAGCGTTTGCGGACCTATGTTTGTATGAACTTTTAGTCATAAAATAAGTCAAAGAAGTAGCCCCTTCCCTATGTACAATATATTTAGCAACACCCTGTATATTATATTATATCATATTTTTCAAAATTTTGAAGTGAGATGTTTTAGCTTAAGGCATTTTTATTGGTTGGTATCGTCTGCCTTTATTACTATGGATACAATAAACAAAACAAAATCTCCATGGCCCACTATTTATTTTTATTTAAAAACAGTAAAAATGTTTTTATTGATTTTCACGGCTAAAATTGAAAAAAATGGGTTGTGATACCTCAATGTAGTTAGGAAACAAAATAAACAACAATATTGACGTTAGAATTTACAGGGTGAGATATAGGGTGGTGCTTTTGAAAAATACGAACTTTGGGTCAAATTTCAGAAACTACTTAGGGTCCAAAAATTTTTTTTATTACTTACGCCACTGGATTCTACCTAAAAATATCTAAGAGGTAGTTTTTACCTTGTTAGTGAAACGTTGTGTTTTTACCCCTATCATCTACTACTTTCCCACAGACAGCTCGTCAACGTCAGTGTAAATAAATAATGATTTTTTATGCAATTGGCGAATAATTTGTGTAGAATACTAGACACACGTTGGGAATTTACCTCGGAATTTATATTTTACATCTTTGTCTCGATCTTTGTCGAGTTCGTAAAATGGTAGGTCTTTGATTAGCAATTAGGTACATTGACTGTATGAGAAGAGATAAGACAATCGCGAATAAGAGATTTTATTGTCGGCAGTATTTGTCGGTGTTCTTTTTTATTATCAGGCGGACTTCTTTAGTTCTTTTATTTTTAGTACAGTAAATCTGGCACGAAAAAGTGTCGTTTTTGGAAAAAAAATACCTTATAACTTTTTTTTTGCATAAATCAAAGTTACCTTAGAAAAGCTTAACTGTAAAAATCCGGGATGGTACCGTGGGGCAATTTTGAGAAAACTCAAAAAGTTTTTGGATTCGATTTATCTCGAAAACGGTGAGTTTTTGAAAAAATTTCATTGAACAAAAAATGTTGTGGACATTATTGTCTACAACTTTTGTCATTGAGCGGATGCTCGTAACGTGAAAAATGATGGCACCAAAGTTACTAAAAAACGGTTTTTCTACTTTTTCACCGAAAAAATTTTTTTTCCCTCGCAATTGCAAATGTAAAAGCTATTGGCCGTGAAAAAACCTACAAAATGCATATACACTTTTTTACGTAAAATGAATAGTTTCGCAGTTGTAGCGCGACAAAGACTGTGATTGTGTAATTTCTCTCGGAATTTCTATAACGTTGCAGTTACAATAGGAGGTTTTTCTATGCGCCAAGTATCTGTTTTATTTGCAAAAAAAAATGTCGAAGATAAGCAACGTGTGGGTTCGATTGGCCGGCAGTTGTTGGTGAAGGCATGCAAAATTCAAGGTGATGAAATCAACAGTAAAGTGATTGAAAATAATAGTAGGTACTGATCTCGAAGTTCATGGCAGATGTTACAAGCTGTTCGCCGAACACAGACGAAAATCTTCAGTGTTTGAAAGGTAATGTATTTTTCTTCCAAACGTTGACATGAAAAATGATGCCGTTCAAGATGTTGACTTGAGCTACCCTTCTCAAGTCGTCCACTAGACTCCAATGTCAAGAAATAAAGAGCCTGACTCAAGTGTTGCAGGATCAACGTCAAGTTCATCAACAGCATCCATATTGGAGTAAAATCGTGGAAACAGCCACCGAAAAAAAAGCAAAGACAGAAAAGAAACCAGCCACGTTGATAAAATTGGTTTTTCTTTCGATTTGGTAATGAATTCAACTAATGATAGTTCTGTCCCGGTCTTGTTTATTGAGTTAAAAAAATAGTATATTGAAAGACAAGTGTTACAATGCGCCCTATTGTAATACGACTATCTTGGGGCACGAGGGGCGACGCGAAGCGTAGCCACGAGTGTCCGCAAGATAGGAGTATTACAATAAAGCATTGTAACACGCGTTTTTCATACTATTTTTTCTATTTCGGTGCTTTAATTTAATAAAAAAAATCATTATCAGAAACTATAGGGAACATTAGAACTAACATGTTTTATGTTGGGAACACTTTTTATGCCGTTAAGTTTTAGGTTGGCAGCGTAGACTGACATTTTGAAGTTCAAACATGGAAGTACCCAACGAAGTATCTACTTATACTAACTAGTAACTGCCAACTTAAGAGATGAGTTACCAAAAAAAAACGACTATAATCACTGTCTTTGTACAACTGTTTTCACTGAAAACAGTTGTACAAAATCATCATTGTGACACCGAAATAGAAAAAATATGTTTACTTATTATTTCTTTTATTTTTAAATTCTTCATGAACTTTTTCCATTACTTAACGCATAGGGTAACGCACAACTCCATTTAACTTCTACAACTACAATACAATATTTTAAATCATTCCCACTGTAACTTAACGGTCCATTGTACGTAAAAAAAGTGTATATGCATTTTGTAGGTTTTTTCACGGCCAATAACTTTTTCATTTGCAATTGTGAGGAAAAAAGTAGAAAAACCGTTTTTTGGTGACTTTGGCGCCATCTATTTCATTCATTTTTCATGTTAGAGCACCCGCTTAATGACAAAAGTTGTAGATAACAATGTCCACGACATTTTTTGTTCAACAAATTTTTTTGAAAAACTGATCGTTTTCGAGATAAATCGGATCCAAAAACTTTTTCAATTTTCTCAAAATTGCCCCACGGAACCATCCCGGATTTTTGGAGTTAAGCTTTTCTAAGGCAACTTGAACGATTTATGCAAAAAAAAAGTTATAAGGTATTTTTTTCCACAAATTTGTGCCAGATTGACTGTGCTATTTGTGAAATTGAAATCTATGCTAAATGCGGAAATAGCAAAAATAAAAATGTCAGAATGTGGAAAGTGGAAATTAAATACAGGTGATATAAAACCCGCGATAAACGTTTTTATGCACACGTTTTTTGTCGCCTGTCGTGTCGTTCTCTATACCAATTGTTTCTTATGTGCCGCGACAGGCGAAAAAAAAACGTGTGCATAAAAGCGCCAGAACAAAATAATTCGTCTAGAGAGCGTCGCGTTTTTTTTTTTCGAAAAATATAGGGGGTTAAGTGGTAGAGCAGTCTAAGGGATGCGTTAGCATACCACATAAACGTTATTGCCATTTTCTGTCCAGGTGCATATTTGGCGCCCCCCGTTTTTCACCACGCCCCTGATCCAATTTTGGAAAGCTTTTCTAATTGTTTGTTACTTTATCAATATTAAAACTACCATTGATAAGTGTGAATTCATTTGCAGTCTTTACTGTTTATAGTTAGCAACGAATTTAGTTATTAATCTATAAATTGCCGTCAAGGTTATAGTAAAGAACAATTTTACGTAATACTTGTTTGAGCAACACATTGTAAATTAAGACTTCTTCCACTGAGGAGTGTAGATTGTAGATTCAATCGCAGTCTCTTTGCATTGTTTATAGTTAGTAATAAAATCGGTGTACAAATTGTAATTTTAGGTTAAAGAGCAATTTGAAAAAAATAAGTATTTAAGAAACAGGTGGTACCTACATTCAAATAAATTTTAGGGAAAGAAACGTACACCTGCCAGCGGGCTCGTCGCGGATAACATCGATCGCGGGCGCTTACCTCACACTCCTATCCTAAAAGTTCACACTCGAAATTTTTGGTGGGGTGCCAATTTAACCGACATAACGAAAAAAAGTTCTTGTTGTGAAGAATCTCAATCGCGTTAATTCAAATTAATTCAAGTTAATTCAAATTAATTCACGTTAATTCAAACTAATTCACGTTAATTCAAATTAATTCAAAGGGGTGTACACCAAAAATGCAAAGTTGTTTCCCCCTAGGTTGGAAGCACCTTTTAGCAAAACCGAGAGGAAAACAATTTTTCAACAACTTTTTTTAAGTTTTAAGGCAACGGACCAAACGGTAGAGAAATAAAA